TCCAGAAAACAGGTGAGGGAATTCCTGGGTACCAAGGGGTTCTGTTGCCTCTGGATTTTGGGGTTCGCCGAAATTGCAAAACCCCCATATGAGGCTACCAAAGAAGGACAGGACTTCAACTGGACGCAGGAAAGGCAAGAGGCCTTTGACACCCTAAAACACAAGCTCTTAGAGGCCCCTGCCCTGGGACTACCAGACATAAGTAAACCTTCCTGTCTATATGTGGATGAATGTAAAGGTATTGCGAAAGGGGTCCTCACCCAGAGAGTAGGCCCCTGGAAGAGACCTACTGCATACCTATCAGAGAAATTAGACCCTGTAGCAGCTGCATGGCCCCCCCTGCCTGTGAATTATAGCAGCAGTGGCCCTGCTGGTTAAGGATGCTAACAAGTTAACCCTGGGACAGGACCTGCTTGTGGTAACCTCTCATGCCCTTGAAGGGGAGCTCAAGCAACCCCCCGATCGATGGTTGAGAAATGCCCGATTAACTCATTTTCAGGCTCTGCTCCTAAATCTGCCCAGGATCACCTTCCAGGTACCAACGGCCCTGAACCCAGCCATGCTGTTGCCAGATCCCAATCTCTGGGACCCACTCCACGACTGTACTGAAATTCTGGCTCAGGTGCATTGCATCAGACCTGACCTGAAGGATGTTCCCTTAAGAAACCTGGTACACGGATGGAAGCAGCTTCATCAGAAATGGTAAAAGGCATGCTGGGGGAGCGGTCACAACCACCTCAAGAGTCATTTGGGCCGAGCCACTGCCAATAGGTACACTGGCCCAAAAAGCTGAACTGATTGCGCTTACCAAAGCCCTAAAGATGGGTAAAGGAAAGAGACTCAACGTCTACACAGATAGCAGATATGCATTTGCCACTGCCCACATTCATGGAGCCATCTCTCAAGAGAGGGGCCTCCTTACTGCAGAGGGAAAGACTATTAAAAATAAACAAGAGATCTTAGACCTCCTGCAAGCCCTCTGGGGCCCAACAAAACTAGCCATAATCCACTGCCCAGTCACCAAAAAGGAAACAACCCCATCCAGAAGGGAAATAATCTGGCTGACAGTAGAGCTAAAGAAATAGCCCCCCACCCTTTTGTCTAAAACCTATAAAAGGCTCCACTCTCCCTTACTCTGGGCTCTCAGCATGGATGCGTTGAGTTGGTGAGGTCTGAGAGCCCGAGCTTAAGCCCGAATAAACCATAAACCTTTGCTTTTGCATTTTGGTGTGTTGGGTCCTCGGTGGTCTTTTTGGGGTCCAGTGGATGGGGTACAACATTAGTTCCTAGTTAGCCTTGGGCAAGCACCAGGGACTGATCAGAATGGACAGGGCTGGCCTTCCTGGAGCTTACAGCTGTGCAGGAGATAATCCCTAGGTGTGTGCACTTCCTCCCAGTTTGTGTGGAACATCCTGTGTTCCCTTTGCCCTACTTCCCTGGCTTCTCCTATCCAACAGTTAGGTCCAGGTACATGTGGGCACCCTTTGAATAGCTTGCTCTGGTTCCCCAAATCTGTACTCTGAGCCTCCACTGTTTTCAGAAGGCAGCCCCCACTACTTCTAAAGGCTGCTCCAAGGCTAGCGCTCTGCTTCTCTGTCCTCACCATCAAAGCCCAAACTTTAAGGAAAAACTGTTAACTACAGTGTCCTTTGGACCCCACTCTGGTCTGCTTCCTGCAAGGAGAGGACGGGCCTACACTTCACCACAGGATCCGCACCAAGAGTAAGAAGAAAGGAAGGTGCTTGGGGCTTGAAAGACAACAGGAAAGGTCCCTGCCAAGGTTCCATCCCGATGGACTAACAACCAGCTATCCCCTGCTCTGCACCTGTGAGCCCACAGCACCACCCCAGTCCCCGAACCTCACCATCACCAACGCTGCTCTCTGGCAAAGGACAAGGGTGCCTGACGGCCCAGCTTGAGTCCTGGCCTGTCTACCACTAGGTGGGTAGTGACCTTGTCAAGTAACACAGTCTTCGTGCCTCAGTTTCCCCACTTGTGGGGCAGAGAAGAGTGGCTTCTTATAAGGGTGAGGACTAAATGGTAGGAGTCTTGTAGAGCCTGGGGGCTGCAAACAGCTCGTGCTTAACAAGGGCTGGTTCTACATCTTCTCCCCACTAGCTGCCCCATTCTGGTCTTATTTGAATTATTATTTATTTAATTTAATTTAATTTATTTATTTATTTATTTATTTATTTATTTATTTATTTATTTATGGCTTTTTTGAGACAGGGTCTCCCTGTAGCCCCAGCTGGCCAGGAACTTATAATTAAGACCAGGCTGACCTCCATCTCACAGACCTGGACCTGCCTCAAGCCTCCCGGTGCTGGCATTAAAGACATACAGCCACCTGGTTTCTGGTCCTCTTTCGCCTCTGTGACTAATCTGTTAAATGGACTAATGATAATGATAGTCCTTGAAGGAGATTACTTATTAAATGCTCTGTCAGTACAAGGAATTTGCAACCTGCAGGTGTGAACGCCCACCTTCTCCGGCCGGGCCCCAAAGCCCAAATCCAACCCCCAGGACCCTTCTTCCTGAGAACCCTATCCAGGGTTCTTCTGCAGGGAAAGGGGCAGGTGGCCTGGATCTTTCTATGGCCTAGGAAGCCCACGCAGGACCCCCACGGCAGGGGGCTGGCGGCGGCGCCATGAGGGCACAGCCTGGGTATTCCCAGGAAGAAAATAGAAATTGCAGAAGAGGAGGCCACGCCAAGGCGGGAGCGGGTTATCTCTAGCTCTGCTTCCTGTTCTGATAAAGGCAGCTGCCAGGCACCCCGAAGTGGCCCAGGACACCGCGTGCAGGGAGATCGCGGCCCAAGGACGCTCCCAGGGCCAGCACGGGGCCAGCCAGGAGGCAGTGCCCTGACCCCCACCCCATCCCCTCACCCTGCGGCCCCACGTGCTGAGTCTTCCCGGTCCACTTCCCCACCAGCGATGTCACCCCTTCCAGCCCCCCAGGTGGTGTCACCCCTTCCCGCCCCCCA